GAATAATTCTTCGTTGCGCCTAATTTTTGCCTTTCAAAGTGCAGGAAAATGCGTCATTGAAGGTTTAAAAATACAAAATTTCCCGGGGGAGAATGCTCCCGGACCCCCCTACATTGCTCGCGCCCTTGGCGCTCGACTCACGCTTCTGCGCTCGGTCCCTTCGGCTCTAGCCAGAACCAGCTTTCCCGTCAATTTCCGAAAGTTTGCGGAGAGTTACAGAATTTTTTAACGAATCCGTCAACCTTGACAGGCAAATTACAAAAATCTTGAGTAAAATATGAAAACATCAGAAGGACCGACAAACACTCTCAACACCATGATTTGCCTCTCAAAATGCGGGAAATTGCGTTTTTGAAGGCTTAAAAATCCTAAATTTCCCCCTTAGATTAATCCATCGGTAAAACTGGGCAGACTGAAAAAATACAAGCTGACCGACGTCGACTCGGACTCCCCTTTATTTGTGGACGCACTCGGGGACCAGGGCAGGTGGGAAACACAGGGAACACATACCTTTAATGCATGCTTCATTACATGTAAGGTATACGTAATTTTGTCAGTGATCACCTTTTCTCACAAAGCGAGATACCAAATCCAGTGCAGCTCGAAAAAAAGCCTGTCAATTTACCGTTAAGCGTTGCCGACCGTCCTGAATTTACCGTTAAGCGTTATCGGCCCTGCTGAATTTACCGTTAACCGTTGCCAGGACCCCCCCATGCAGACCCTCTTATATGGTTAGAGTTAGAAGTTGCTATAGTATGACTATGATGTAATGAATTGTGCATCCATATAATTAATGACATTGCAGGTTATGATAATATGAATAATGATGCCATCTTTAGTGACTAGGTCTCACCCAAATCATGTCACAGCATGCAGCATGTTTCAGATTTACAGTTACTTCAACTTGGTTCCATTACTAGTATATTTATCACATTACATCACAATGTATGAACATTTTCTGATTCATCATGTTTGCAGCATATTCATGTCATCCTGATTCTGATTAAACATTCTGGTATCCAGATCTATTACTGTAATACTACAGTAGTACATGTATGTCATATTGTATTTCTGAAGATACTGTGCTAATTTGTCAAATACACGGATGTTACGTATACCTTGTCTTCATTTCATTTCATTTGTACAGGACAGTTGCTGGTGTAGAAGCAGTTCACATAAAATTAAAAGCCAAACTACAGAGAAGTTCCAGACTGTAGCAGGATGGCCTGGGGTGTGCCGGCAGGGTACCAGGGCCTCCAGTCTGAGGAGGAAGAACTGGAGATGGTCCTGAGACTGTCCATGCAGGAGACAGGTACAACACACAATCAGTCTACACCTCCTCAAGGCAACAGAGAGATGAGTTACCGTAACTGTGGTCATAGAATTGTCTTTTTTCTGTACCATTCATTTT